CCAAGACCTACCGCTCCGGCTATCCACCATCAATTCTTCGGCTGATGCTAGAGGCTGAGGTTGTGTGCTCTGGCTCCAGTGGTTTCAGCACTGTACCTAGAGTGTGGTGACTGTCTTCTAGGGTGTGTGTGAGCCGGGAGTGATTCTCTAGTACTCGGGTTGCATGTGCCTAGGGTTTCCTTCCCTAGGTGCCCTGTAAGTACTGCCCTTGGGGCTTGAGGCCACCTTCCAAAAATTCCTTGGGTTCTGCCCCTGCTAGGCCGTTTACTGCTTGGTTTTCGGCTGCCCTTTGTGTGCTCGGGTGTTCTGTCTCCCTTGTTCGCTTTAGGGTAAGGGGCAGTTTGCACTGGTGGGGCGCAGGATACTGTGCAGCTTGTTTTCACCAATCATGGTGGCCGGCTCTGTTCCGCCTGGGTACGCTGTCCTCTTGCGGGGTTTTCTTTTATTTGTCTGCCTGGTGGAGGGGGGGGGGGGGTTCTGCCTTTGCTCTTGTCCCCTGTGTGCTTAGTATTCTTCCTTCTTCCAGTGGTTCCCCCAGCTAGGATCCTGTGAGTGTACACGACCCGGGGGTTCAGTTCTTAGAAGGTTGTTTGGTAGACTTGGGCACCGGTTAGCAGTACCCTGCCTGGGATTACCTGAGCGCGAGTCCTATTATAGTAAGCACTCAGGACCCTGGGAAACCATTAGGGGTGCGCAGGTCCAATGGATGTGACCCAGAAGTCCCCACCCCCCACTTCCAGCAAGTTTGAGGGTTGCTCTGTCCCCTTGTCTCCGGGTGAATCTGTCTTTGCCTCTGTTTGCTGCCTGTGGGGTCTGTGACACCTTCAGCCCGGAGTCCTGCGAGTTTTGATGCTTGTTTGTGACTCGGTTACCCAGTCTTATGCTGACTATGCGGGTGCAGGCAGCACGGGCATTGCACGTTGAGCTTTGATGGTCTCAAACATCCCAGAAGCCCAGAGGCTGCCCCGTTTTGGTTGGTGTTGGGGCTTGGGGTTGTTCTCTCCGTGCTCTGTCTCGGCACTGCTCGTTTTCTTTACATATTCCTAGTCCGGGATGCCAGATTGGGCTACTTGTAGCCCAATTGGGTTCCCGATTAGGTTCATTGTATTCATTTCATAAGCCAGCGATGTATATCGCTGCTTACTTCTTTTTTAGCTCCTGTCCCAAGAGCTGGACTGTTTTTTCTATTTAGCGATTAACTCGGGTCACGAACTGTTTGGCTACTTGTAAAGCAGTCCTAGTTGGCGCGTTCCTGCCGAGCAGGTTGTGCAGTTCGGACATCGTGTCGTGCGCATGCGCCATGGGAGTTTGTTTTGGTCTGGCAGTATGCACAAGTGCTGGTGTTTTGCATCCTTTTCTCTCGGGTGCTTCGCCTCTCACTCTTCTCCATTCTTTGGTCCGTGCCCCGTAGCTACTGGGGTGTTCTGGATTGCAGCTATGGGGAGGACGCCGAGGTTTTCCCTGTGTCATGGGTGTGGGGCGCCTCCTTCGCCTCTACCCTGCTCTCCTGCGTGTGCGGCTCTGGCCTTCTTCCCTTGGCGGTGCTCCCGGGATCATCTTGGCTACGTCGTGTCGTGACACGATCGTGCCTATGTTCGGCAGGCGAGTTTCTGCGGTTTGGCGTCTCTTTCGGCCAGGCGCTGGTTTATGGTTTTTGGATACGATTATAAAACCGTCAGCACACAGGTGACTGCTGAGGGCCTGTTGGCTCATACGTGGCAGCTCCTATTTCTACCCGTCCAGTCCCACTCTTATGCATGTCCAACCCATGCTCGAGTCGATCAAGGGACCCCACCTTATCCATGTTATGAGGTACGATGGTTGAGGTGCAGGTTATGTACTCGCCTAGTTGTGCTCACCTGGTTGTGCTTGCGTGGACTGAGCACTGGCTCTTTGGTCCCGCCTTTCAGCCATCAATCACCTCGAGTGCAGGTTCCTGGGCCTGCTGGGCTCTATCATATCTACATTTGAAACTGTCTGGAGTTAGCCTCCACCACATCTCTGCCTACTGTACATGTGCATTAGTAACATGTACCACAGTAACATGTGGTAGTTGTTACTGTGTTAGGATGTGACATTTTGCTGTAGTTTTATGCCTGGGGATGTGTGGTGGGGGATTGATTGTGGCGTTTTTCGTGGTCTTATCTGGGGTCCCTCATTCCTTTCCCGTCTTGGAGTGCCTGGCTTGACCCTTCCATGTACATTGGTTTATCTGTCCTCGCCTAGTTGTCCGCCCCTGGTTGTACTTCCTTGGGATGAACTTGGCTCTTTTGTCCTGCCTCTCCTGTCACTTCCCTGACATCTACTGAGCTCTATCATGTCTGCACTTGCAGCTGTGTGTGGGGTCAGCCTCCACCACTTCCCTTCCTCATGCATTCCATTTGTTTACTACTCTGCCACTGGAATGTTTCTTTCTTGTGTTTCTTTGACTCCTTTGTGGTGCTCCTTCTGCCTGTGTTGCATGGTGCGTGTGCACTTGTGTTCATCTTCATGTTCATCTGTCTTCGTTGCTTGTACCCCTCGGTTCGGGTACTAGTTTGGTGGTGAACCTCTGCACCTTCTTCATTTTGATTTGTTGGGATAGGGCCTGCGACTCTGTGTTGTTGGCGTGACTTGTTGGGACATGGTCTGCAGCTCTGTGGGTTGGTCGCGACCTTTCGTTCCCGACTTGCTGCATGCCTTCTCCATTCCTCATCTTCCTGCTTCACTCTTGTCCCTGGTCGCTGGTGCTGGGGCTGATGTTCTGATCTTTTTCTTGTTTTTTCCTACACACTGTTGTGTATTTTGTTTGTGCCTTTTGGCCCTCCTGTTGCCAAGTTTGGGGTTTCTGTTTTCCTGGCTTGCCCTGCCTGTTGGCATTTTCGGTGTTCCTTCTCTGGAGTCTTGCGTCAGACCCGTAGTCTCCGATCTCCTGGCGAGCTTGCTCGCGTTGGGGAATTTTCTGTTCGGCAGACGTTCCATCTCCTTTGCCGGCTTGGGTTTCCGGCTCTGCTTGCTCGGTGGTCGCACCCGAGATCTTCCCGCGGCTCCTCCTCTTCCTAGGCTTAACTGAACCTTGACGGGGCTGGTTAGGTTTTGCCTCTAATCTCTCGCCTTCAGTTGGTGGTCAGGTGGCTTCATTGTTGATGTCCCACCTGCGTGCTTCTTCTTGGTAGCAGTATGGTTTTTTTTGGCGGTCCTTCCTTTTCCTTCTGTCCCTTCTTAGGTGGCTGCGTTTGTTGGCGTTGGCTTGACTTTTCTGGTAGAGGTTCGGGGCCGTCATTTTACCGCATACAAACGCTTCGTTTCGTGCGGCGCTGGCACAGCCGCTTCAGCTTGCTTTCCGTCTTGGTGTTATATCTGTGCCGCTTCGTAAGCCGTCTCATGTGTTGTTTCACCTCCGGCCTGCTCATGCGCTGCCCGAGCCATCCTGGTCTTTGGACAGCATGCTCTTTCTTCTCCTCGGTTTGTTGTGGCCCCTGCGGTTCAGGTTTGTTTCTCGAAGGCTCTTTTCCTGTTGGCATTTGCCTCTAGGGGGTTGGGTCGGTGAGGTTCCTGCTCTCCTCTGGCGCAGGGGTTTCTGCTCCTTTGGTTGTGGCATTAGGTTTGCTCAGTTGCAGCCGTCTCCCTCTTTTCTGGCACGGAATGAGACTGCTGCTTTCTGGAGGGGTCCCTGGTTTGTTGGTACTTGGTTGGTCGGGCCGGGGGTGCATCATGTTTTGTGTCCGGTTGCAGCCCTCCACTGTTATTTGCACGCCGCGGCTTCTGTGTCCGGGACGCGCTTTGGGTTGATCCGATTCCCTTCCCTGTTCGCGGGTGAGGGTCTCCCAGGTCGTCCACCATGTTATTGAGGCTAGCCAACATGCGTTCTATCCCCGTGCCCATGACATCCGTAGCTTTGCTGCTCTTGCTGCCGTCTTGGCAGCATGTCCTGGCTGACACGGGGCTTTGGCGGTCATACAGGGGTCTGCCTGCTCGATATCTTGTGGTCGTTTCCGGGCCCATTTGGGCCTGTATCGCCTTGGGTTGGCAGTTGCAGCCAGTTGTCTCGACTGTGAGTTAGAGTGTGTGCGGTGACTGCCTCCCAGGTACGTCCCTCTTATTTCCTCTGTGGGTAGTTAGCTCCGGGAAGCCTAAGGGACTCTCTCCAGAAAACCAGCGTTGAATGTAATGAAATGACATTTTCTGGGCGAGACCCAGAGGCTCCCCGGCATCCCTCCCTCCCTCTGGTCAGCGTGTTTTTGCGTTTTTTGACATCCAGCTTTAGAGCTGATGGTGGATAGCTGGCACGGTAGGTCTGAGGCTCCCCCTTCCCCCTCCCGGGGAGGGGGGAGCTGCGCAGATAGTGGCACTGTGACGTGTGACATCATGATCGTTTGCTCGTTTCTTTTAGGAGAGTTCTATCCACTTGTTTGGCTTGTGGTAGCAATTTTCACAAGAATAGGGGTTTGTTTTGGGACACTTACCTTCCTGGGTGCCTGACCCGGTTGATGGCAGACATAGAATGTTTCCAACCACACGGGGGTTTCTATAGGCCATTGCTCCCCTTGCCTCTCTGAGGGGGCCAGGTTCTGGCTCGTGGTTCCCGGTAGGCCCATAGAGCTCCATACACATGACTGATGCATGACTGATGTCTGACATTAGCATATCAGCCTGGATAAGCTCCGGGGAGCTTCCAGGTCTCACCCAGAAAATGGCGTTTCATTACATTCAATGCTGGGATTCCCCCCCCCCCCCCCACTTTCTGCCCCTTTGATGAGGTTCTCTCTCAACATGAGGTTTTTTTGGAACAAAACACACTGCCTCCAATGAGGGCGCAGGATTCTGATCCCTGCTCCTGGTAGGCTGTGAGTGTCCTTGATGCGTGAAAGATGGCACATGACCTAGGGTATCAGTATATAAGCTCTATGAAGTTACTAAAGAGGCAACCCAATAAAACTAAATACAGTATTGTATACATCATTACAAAAAGAGTCATTACAAATTTTATATAAAAAACAAAATCAGAAATATATATGAACCTGCTTAAATGCTGTGTTGAACTGTCCTTGTGAAATTAGTGTTTGAACTTGTTGTTGCGCCACCTTTGGATTGAGAGTGTGGGGTGTTGGGGCAGGTGTGTGGGCACGACTTCGGGCATCAACAATGGCTTGGTGTTCTTGTAATGAACGTGTCACCTCTTCCCGTACTAACCCTCGTATTCTTTCACCCAGAGATTCTGATAATCTGAAATACACAAGAAAATATATAACTTAATTTACCGTATCTTGCACAAGAACCTGTTTGGACGATAGCTTCGAAAACCGAGAGCCAATAGTGACAATATACACAATGCCACAAGTCATCTGGCATAGGAATGTAGAATAACAGCTCTTAGCTTGCAGTCTCATTATGTGAAAAAAGGTCAAACTAAATTAGCAATCCCTGCAGTCTATATAATATGACAGTACAACATAATTAAAGTGCCAACTATTGTACCTGTATTTTAATATATTAGATACATACAAAATTGTTCTTATTCTACATGTACAGTGGAACCTCGGTGCCTTAGCTTACTTCGTTTCAGAAGGCCGTTCGAGTGCCTTTGAATATTTTTTTCCAAAAAGGAATAATTTAATTGGATTAATCACATATTTTCACTTTACCTGCACTTATGAGAGTTTAGGGTGTGTGTAGGTGGTGGTGAGGAAGAGGAGTGTGTATGTGTGTTAGGCTGGGGGGGGGGGTCCCTTACCATAAAAACTTCAGGAATTTGTGTTTCAGGGTCTCTCTTTTTTGTCTCTTTTTTTTTCGATTTCCCTCAAGATTGGCTGGATGCTTTTCTTAAGACACTTGCCTAATGATATTTGCAGCAAAATCAGACACACAGGCACTACTTTCAGATTTTACTATGAGTTCTTTTTCATCTCTATCTTGGTTCTAACTAATTTTCCTTTCAATTGGCTCTTATCATTAACTTTCTTAGGTGCCATGGTGACTTATTTATATTAGGAATAAAAAAAAAAAGCATTGAATGTAATGAAATGCCTGTTTCTGGGTGAATCCCAGAGGCTCCCTGAAGTTATCCAAACTGATATAGTGCTATATTAGTTGTGGTTATCAGTCACCGAATTCTTTTACCTGCCAGAGACCATGAGCCATAACCTTGCCCCCTCAGAGAGGCACAGGGAGTAATGGCCCATGAACACGTTACAATTAACACTTTCGCGCTTTCGATTAGATAACTCGTCACTGGTTTTTCTTACGATTCCGCATAACTGCCTACTTTTCTCGTCAATTGAAAAAATATTTCTATAAATTCCATTTTTTAACCGAAATGGATGGGGATACTTTTGTTTTGTAGAGAATTTATTTGCGAATTTTTTGTTCCCAGAATGAATATTATATCACATAAACTTCTATGAGTAAAAAAAAAAAATACACAAAGTATGTTTGGGGGTGTGGGGAGCGTGTGGCAGTGGGTTCCCTTTAGCCGTTGATATATCCAACACGTGGGAAATATTTGTATGTGTTATGTATATGTCTGTGTAGGGAATTTTACTGCGATCACTGTCATACAAATTATAAAATGTTTCAACAAGTATAAACATGACAAACATCAAACGAACGAAAACAATGCGTTCGTTTCTGCCGCGAACGCATACTGAGCGACGTGGTTCTATATTTGGCGCTTCTCTTACACATGCTTTGTACAAATGTTATACAGTTCATCTTATAGAAAATTTTATTGCGAACACATTGGTATAAAAAAGAAATACGTACATAGAAAAGTAGGGTCAGGAAACGTATAAATTTTCCAAGCATGATTTCCCCCCTGTGTTTTCGCCAGTGCGCTCGCGGCTAACTACTCTCCACTTCACACACTCTTGCGGGTGGGCAATTACCTATATTAAACATTCATATGCATATGTCCGTGTAGAGAATTTTATTGCGATTCCAATGATACCAAAATTAGCGATGTAGGACAACTGTAGGCTTCGCAACCATTAAGAGAGTGGAAACATTTTGTTGCTGTTTGGCGCTCTCGGTGAGTGATCTGCATAGTTTTTTATTTGGTGTTGATACTCCTTATGCTTGGGCGGCATTTTATAGGTATGCTCTTATAGACAATTTTATTGCGAACACAGTGACACCAAATTTAAATATGTGCACCTTCAATTATTGTCAGGACAGTCAAAAGAGTGTACACTTTTTCGGTCTTACCGCGTAGGCGCGCGAAGTGCCGAAAGCATATGGGGTATTGTTTTTTTTTGAGCGCCGAGAGCGCGAAAGTGTTAAAGTATGTCATCTTGCCATTGACCAGAGAAGGCACCACAGAAAGGTAGGGAATTTGAAACAGACTGCTGCCTGGTTGAAAATGCATGTCAGGAAGCCTCCGGTGCTCACCCAGAAACTGACATTTCATTAGGTTCACTGCTGATTTCCTCTGAGGAGCCATGTTGACTCCCTGAAGCTAACTACCCACAGAGAATGTAAAACGGATTTACCAGGGAGGCAACATCACTGCAGGAGCTCAATCTGGGGAAGACACAGTTGGCCGTGACAGACGCCCTAAAGCAATACACTACAGGTACAAAGCAATACGCTACAGGAATGTTCACGAGAAACCTGATGGCCTAGAGCCTGTTCGACCTCCAAAACCCCAGTGCCTGAATAACGTCCCAAGACAATGTATTTCCAAACACATCCATAAGAGCGGCAAACTTCCTAACATCATTAGCATGAGGGTAGACCACAGGCTAGCTAGACTTGACCCTTAAACTGCGCATGGCGTATATATACGCCATAGGGTGCCCAGGCACGATTCAAATGGCCCGCGGCTGCACGGGGTTCACATCAGCTTCCTCAGGGCTCTTGTAAACCGATGCCATGTTTAAAAAAATTGTGGGCAATATTCTCCAGTGTGAGAGCCACAGGACTGTGGGAGCAACAAAGGCTGGCGCATGTAGCATGAGCTAACAGCATTGCTGTTCAGCTTGTGACCACAGCATCGCCTAAAAAGTCAAAATACTGCTATTATTTAGCACTATTCTATGCAACTGCTATTATTTAGCGACGACAGTATTACAGATGACCCCTGACTGTGATCAAAATGACCAGGATTGTGATAACAGGATTGTTGTGATAATTAGTGCTTTGTGGGAAGAGTAATGCTGAGAGAGGGAGATTACTGACTGTGGCCACCTGTTATTGTCTGCATTTACCATACCAGCTCAGTGGTTCTCTATGGTAAACATAAATGTAGATACTTATATATAATGTGTATTAGTGTAATATCAGCAAAAGGATTATGTTGGGAGGAGCCATTTGGGTGACGGGGGTGGCGTGGTCTGCATGACTTGTCTAGCTGTGTGGAGGGTGGCCACTATGCTCTTTGGGAACCCTACAAGCTTAGGTATACAGTTACGGTGCATACAATATGTAGATACTTGTATATAATGTGTGTATATTTAAATTTAGATTTTTTATTCAGGTAAAGGTACATACAATGAGTTACATTCATCATGTTGGATTTAACCCTTAACCCTTTAACTGCGCGGCCTATAAATATGACACCCCCCCAGTGCGCAAGAAATAAATTCCCAAACTAAAATTCCCAAAATGAAATAAATAGAACCCCAAACCAAATTCTTTTTGGTGAGGAGGTGTTACGGACCCGAGCCCAGCGTCCGAGCACGGAGCAGTGACGACCGCGCCATCTGTGGGTCAGCTCCCGAAACCCCCTCCAAATGGACGACGCCATCTAGTGAGGACGAGATATACTGGCCACAAGGGCTAGTTTCCCGTCCTAATCAGCTCGTGACGTAGCCGCTGCTGACCTCTGGTGAGGTGACGCTTAGACAGCAACGCCATCTATGGAGTGGATAGGTGGGCGTTTGTGTCTAAGCCTGTAAGTGAGATGCCCTAGAGTGTAACTAGTACTGATGACGTGTCTGATTACAGAGTCGACCTGGGACTGCTGTAATGAACGTTGGATCAGTCTACCCAAGGCAGCCGTAACGTCTCCAAGTATTAGCTGCAGAAGTTGAGTCACCCCCCCCGGATGAACACTGTGGTGTTAGCCTGCCTGTGACGTGGCAGTTGAGGAATTGTCGTACCCGGGACTGACTGGTGGAGACGACTAACCACTGGGGTGTTGTGGTGAGGAGAGTGATCTGTGTAATCACACGAGGCTCCTGCCTAGGGCTCGCAACCCTAGTATCGGTCGTGGAGTGGCCTAACCTGCGGAACTGATTGGAACCTGCCAGCTACAGGCTGGATTTGTGGTTGAAGGCCTCCACGACGGTGCCCCCAGTGGAACTGTGATTTGGCTGGCCTGTGGCCAGGGTAGACTCGTCGAGGGAATCAAAGGATTCATCGTGAGGCCACAAGAGAACCAGGACCACTCGTCTTGAGCACCGTGAACGTCCAGAGTCTTCAGAGGAAGACCACGTTGTACATAATAGTGTTTATACCTCCCCGTGTGATAATCTATATATTATTTATGGTGATGGTGATAATTATATTATTAAGTTTTTGCCTTTGTCTCCCTTCCCCTTTAATTTACTTGTGTTACGGAGCACACCCCTTAAAAGCCACTACTAGCTTGGAGCCGGATACCCAAACTCTACTAACATCAGAGAAAGAACCCAGTTGCGACCCGAGAGGGCCGTAACAGTGAACAAATACTTTGTCGGTTATTACACTATAAGCACAGGTTATATATAAGTATCTGCATGTTTTGTTCACTATAACAAACCACTAAGTAGCTATTATGAGTCAAAAAGTAACGAGGAGTGACCGCTGTGTACCAGCCAGCCACTCCCGCCCTCCCTCCAGCCATCTGACTCACCCACATTCTCCTCCCACAATACTGTTTTTGCTATAATTCACTATATACAGATGTTATATATAAGTATCTACATGTTTTGTTCACCATAACTGTACATCTAAGCTTGTATGGTGAGTAAAGGCACAAAGACGTAGGACCTCACACAGTCAGCTGATGGCTGCCGCCCTCAAGGCCAGACGCACTAATATTTCTCCTCCAACAATACTGTGTGGTGTTATTACGCTATATACACACATTATATATAAATATCTACCTGTTTTATTCACCATACTTGCACAAATAAACTGGTATGGTGCCCAAAGACCATCGTGGTACCCAGTAAACAACTCCGTCGTCTGCACCGCCCTCACCAAAATGGCGGCTCCAAACCTTCTCTTGCTGTTTATACCCTCTA